ATCTCCTTAGCAATGCCTTCCCTGTCTTTCTTATTAAAATAATTTCTAATCACTCTCTATTCCATTACCCTTCTTTATTGTCTTTACGGCATATCATAACTGAAAATCTTCTGAACTGTTAGTGTCTTTATGTTTTTATTTTGACCTCTCAGTGGGGGAAAGTAAGCACGGTGTGAGGCACCTTTTGTAACACATTTTCCTCCATACCTTCAGAAACTAGAATATAACCTGACACATATTGTTGGAAAATGAAAAACATTCTCTCTTGAATAGTCTCTTCCTGGGACTTCCATATATTTGTTTTCTCCTACCTCACTCTATATTTTTCATAATCTCTTTTTTAAAAGATATATTCTTTTTTGCTTTTAAACTGACTGTTTAATAAAAATGGCTAAAAGGAAAGATACTCTGGCTGATTATGTTATTTTTTAAAAATTGGACAAATAATACAAATGAATATCTAAATATTCTCTAAGGGATTCTTTGTTAAATTGGGGAAAATGTAAAGATATTTTTTCTTCCCAATGATCTATATTTTCTTAATCTAGTATGCAATCTTACTCTAAAATTACATGATTTTGTCTGCAGACTTTGGAGACTATAGACTTAAAATATGGAAATGTAACCTGGCACTTTGGTTAAATTTCTATATTACAATAGTTTTAATTTAATTTTCTCAACCTTTAGTTGGATATGCATTCTATGTTAGATTATAAAACATTTTGTAAATTTGTTAAATAATTACTATATGCCAAGATAAGTAACTACTCTGGCTTATCTTTGTTATTTCTGCTATCAAAATATGGTCACCGTGCCATTAAGCATTGCATTTAGTATATCATTATAGAAAATATTTTTTTCAACAAGTGTATCTATTACAGTAAAAAAAAAAAGTGATAAAATTGACAAGCCACCCCTTTATCTATTTTTTACACCAAAGACAGCAAAATGAATTGTGTGTTGCATATTTAATGCTGAATTCAGTTGGGGTGTACTAGTTTAACACAATAGTTGGTGTCCCTTCTGATTGGTTGGGAGTCCATTTTAACTAATTAGTACTTGTGCTGTTCTAGTTATTAAATATTTTAAATAAATAAATAGCAGTTATTTAAATTATTAGTTATTTAATATTAAAATATTTTATATAGCTCCCTGCTTTTGCCAGCTCCTATGTAATTGGTCTTGGTTAGCTCAAATACTATTTTGAGGAGTCTGAAAAAGTGATGATTTCTTAGTTATGTCTGCCACAGGAAAGGGAGGAAGCAGCATTGGTTTTCATACTTCAGTACATTGTGGTCTTCATGATAACGTCTATGATGGAAAGCCCTTGAGTGAAGTTGAAAAAGAAGTATTAATAAAATTCTGACAATCTCTGAATTTTGAACTCTTCATAAATGCTAATGTACTAATGCTTTTTAGAAAAGACAAGGTAAACATGGGAGGTCACTCTGATTTTACAATTTTTTAATAAACATAAGCACTTTAATTTGAAGAGGATTCAAAAGCTAGATTTTATAAGATAGTAGTAAGTTTCTAAAATAAAACTTGTATTTAGATGAATAGTACTTCTGATAATCCTGTATTTTGTCGGTATGAGAACTGCTTGGGTTTACCGTTTCTGACTTTGAGTAGAAAATTACTATTTTAGTCAAAGCAGGCTTTTCAAACATTCTGTACATTCAGAATCTCTCTTAGGAAGAACTAGGAGGATTCAGCATGATTGATTTGGTTGAAAAATATCAAGTCTAAAAAATTTTAAAGCATACATCATTTCATAAGCATGAATAATTTTTGCTGCCTCAAGGTAGAAGAGAAACATGGCACTGGATCATTCCTCAGTGTGGAGCCCAGGCACCCACAGGGGGATGGCCCCAGAGACACTTCTCTGACCTAGTTACTTTCTGCAATTATTCTATTTATTTGATTTAGCTGACTACACAAAATAATTCTATTCATTTCTCGTAGTTATTCTCTTCCGTTGCTTCTGCTCAGTATAGTCTCAATTTTTGTATAGAACCACTGATGTCATAGAATGTCACTTTTTAATAGTTGATTTTTAGTCACTGCTAATTGTCTAGTTTATGATTCCTTCTAATCACATATTTTACAGTGAATAGAAGATAATTGTATTTTACTGTTTAATGTTTGTTTCTAAAGTGTGCCAATCTTCCTTTCAGCTGTTTCCATATGGCCCACTGCTCTCTGTTGTCATCCCAATACTTTTTGTTTTTTAACAAAATATAAAATATTTGTTTTTTTGTTTCAATTGTTGCTGCTGTTTTAAGTTCTTTGTTATTAGTTCAAAAATTAATATACAGAATTTAAATAAAAATTAATGTGTGGACTTTTTTATATTTCTCTCTGATAAAAAAACTAGAACAACAGAACTAGCTCCGTTTCACTCTGTACCTCTCAGTCACTGGCTCCTATGTGTCAGGGAAGTCCTCAATGGAAAAACTGGTGCACATGGTGTGAATAGCTCAACAAGTACCGAGGTTCCTGCTCATTTGACATTTCCCAAAGGCACTAGTCAGATGTGACTTAATCCTTGGTATTTGGGCATAAATTAAACATAACACCCAACCAGTTAAGTGGATGATTTTCTAGTGTGACAGAATACGTACAATAAGAAGAGGTTCATTATAGCAATGAGAATATGTGGAAGCAATAGCTTGACATTTTATCATATCACTGTATATTGATTTGTGTCTCAGAAAAATTCAATGTGCTTTCTTGCAGCTGTGATTTTCAGCTTGCTTGAAGGTAAATAGGAAAGATTTTCAGAAAGGACCTGATTCACAGGCAACCTTTGAAGGCAGTAGATACATTTTTATTATCACCTGTCAAACCGTCAGAACATTGAGACTTCTGTAATTGTTGATTTTAATGCCTAGCCTCAAAGTGCATAAGCCAAAATAAATTGATATAGCCTGTGTTGAGGAATATTTTTGTGAAAAAAACCTCTTACCTTTTAAAATGCTTTAATCTATTGACATGTGCAATTTAAACAAGATGAGTTGAAGAGCTCTTTAATTAAAATTGCCATTGTTGACAGAAGCTATTCCTATTTTCCGATAATGTATGTGTCTTTTACAGAATTATTATTTTTGTAACTGTCGTATCTTTCTGATATGTACACAAAGTAACAGTCTGGCCTACACTCTCTCAAACCTCTTCCCCAGCCTCTCCTAAATATGAAAAATATGTGCATTAGTATAACCAATTGAGTAATAGTTCTGTTTTAAGATGCTATCAGTGAATCGCAAATAATTAGTAGGTACTTAGAAATTTGAAATAGAAAATATGAATTCTCTCATGTGATCATTAATACTATATGGTCTTATTTAATCAGGCTTTTAAAATCATAGATCAACAATTATTTATATGGTAACAGTATCAGCAAACTCAAAGATCGAAATAGTAGGGCCCTGATGTAATCACATTTTAATAGGAGCAAAATTATAATCAAAATCCATTCTGACAGAAGTGATTTTAACAATTAGATTTTCTTGGCAAATCAATTTGTAAGTGCAGCTTAACTTTTCAGAGATACTGTATAAACTGCAATCATTTCAAGACAGGTAAGCCAACAGTGTATGCTGGACACCTGGGTGAGAATGAGTGTGCAATGGGACCCTTACCGAGGAAATTTCCCTGTATTGGAAACTAACACTGGTAGACAAATATATGTATAAAGAGCCAGTCCCATCAGGGCCTTAAGAGAGGCAGAAACAGATCTCTCTGGGATTCAAAGTAGATAAGATCACATATAATTGAGCAACAGGGAAATACAATTCATCAGGTAGGTAACATTTGAAATGGTTTTTATTAATAATAAAGTTTTTACAGACGCAGATGAATATGACTAACAAAATATTTCATGCCAGAAATATTTCCTCTAACAGTTATATTCACCAATCTCTTGGTGGTATTCAACTGTTCTTCTGAAGACAAAATTCTTTCTTCAAATGAGTCTTCTATGGAAGCTCTTTGTATAAAACTGGTTGAAGTGCATTAGCTCCAATTGAGAAGAGTGGGAAGTTAGAGGTCTGGATTCTTGGTCTCCTTTTTTTCACTGTTTGCCACTGCTAACTCCTTATCAACACCTCGATGTATATCTGCTATAGTTTGAAACAGCACATTTTGTATTATACTTGTATCATTCTAAAGCATAACAACTATTATTTTAATAATGGAAATTACAGAAAGTGAAGCTGAAAGGAATCATCTTGGCTCATAGGAATATGTGTTTGACAGAAACGTCAGTGCAGTACTTTTCAAGGAGGAAGAAAGGGGTAACTACCTCATAGGATTCCTCTTAGAATCTCCAGAAAGGCATGAAATTTTTATATTAGTAAAAGGATACTTTTAAAAATGAGAAATATTGGTATAAAATGTAAGATAACTGTAGGGTGGTAGTGGGACAGAAATAGTTGTTTGGGATCATATTCTAAAGTCTTTGAATTGCCAGGCTGGCACATGTGGTAGTATAGGTTGTATCTTGCACAACTCAAAGATTGTCGTTCAAAACTGGATGTGTGCACAACCTGAACAGCTGTGCATGATAGACTTTGTACTTAATTTGAATAACAATAGTCTTTATTTTCAAGCCTGAGAATGGTATGATTGTAGTTGAACCTTAAGGAAATTAATCTTGCAGTATTTTGTAAAATGATTCAAATTCCAGAAACATAAATATAGAATATACATACTTGGTGGTCTGTTAGAGGTGTAAACTGGGTTTGTAACTTGTTTAGAAGGGAAAGGGCAAAGCAAAAATGACTGTAAACATTTTTCTCAAGTGATTAAAAGAATTGTTGTACCCTGATAGAAATAGAGAGATGTCATGTTTGTGGTGATTGGGATGGGGTAAGACATACAATTAGTTCTCCTTTGAACATTTCAAATTACTGTGAATGGTTTTTGTCATACTAAATGGGCAATTTGGTATAATTCCTCCAACAAGGCTTTATTTTCCTTTGTCTTTTCTCCTCTTTCAGGCTGAAGTCATTGATGTGAGTTATGGAAATGCAGATGATTTAAAAAGGATTAAAAAAATGAAAAATACAACGAATCAGATTGCACTCCTGAAATTAGGAAAACTGCCACTACTTTATAAGGTTGGTCCAATGGCTCTTATTCAGTGGTGGGGTGAATATTTTGTTTTGTTGCAGTTACATGCTTCTGTGAGTGTAGAGTGTGTGTGAGTGTGAGAGAGAGAGAGAGAAACAGACAGCTAGACAGACACAGAGGCACAAAGAGGCAAAGAGTGTCACAGGAAGATGGCTTTTCCAAAATAGAAAATTTTAAATTAAGAGCTCGAAGAAAAAGAAATTGATGTCCTATTTCTTAAGACAGGAGATACCTTAAGCTAGATATTAGTGAGTTTGTGGGACTTGGATAAAATTGGCATACTCTTCATAATAATACCTATCTGGAATGCTAAAAATGGAACCACAGTGTCCTCTTCTCATGACATATGTGAAACTTCCAATCTATTATCAAAACTGACTAACCATTATGTGCTTTATGTTAGACTAGTATCTATCTAATTTATATTCCTTAGAGATGGATTTTGTCAACTCTCTAACTTCACGAATACTGACTGTGCTCAGGAATTTAATTAAGATATAATGTGCTAAGGAGAAAAGAATTTTGATTTGCTTTATTTAAATAGAAGTTTATTAACACTCATCCACTAGATGCATTTACATAATTAAAGCAGCTTGATCTAAGTATCTCGTAATGAGCTGCCGTAATAGACAGCCACTACTGCTCAGTCTTACTTCATTTTCTCTTTCTATTAAAAAAGAAGGGTCAGTATAGTTATGTCACTGGAACTCTGGTTCTGAAGATATATTGGATTTCTCCTCATCCAACCCTAAAGGAGCTTTGCTAATTCCCAGGTTCAAAAAAGTTTCCAGAAATCTCTTGGCACACTCTGTAAGGAGACAAGAGTACATCCTGTGTCAGTTTTTCATTATCTTCCAAAGATGCCCTTATACTTGAATCCATGTCTGATAGTAGACAACAGGCCAGAATTTTAAGATAGTCTTGAAAATATAATATATAGAATAATAATTTTTTTGCATGGTAATTTGTCAGTTTATATTAAATGCCTTAAAATAATCACATTTTCATCAAATAATTCCAGTTCAGTAAATTTATTTCTAAAGTAGAAAAAAAAAACAGAGATAATAAACATGATGACCAATGATGTGACAAAATATTACAAATGATATGTCCAGTTTAGTATTTAAAATCATGCTACGTTTGTACAGCTGAATACGTACCATACAATAATTACAATGTAAAGAAGAATATTTAATGATGTGAAAATCCTCATAAGTCAAACAAACAAGTTATAAAGAAGACATTCAAAATAATAATGCTATTATTGGTACTTCTGAAGGTAACTGTTAGTAATATAGGCTAGATATTATTCTAAGCATTTGTTGTGTATTATCACATTAATCTTCACAATAACTGTGTTGTTGAGGTAAAGACTGTAATTATCCTCAATTTATAAATGAGATAACTAAGGTAGAAAAAAAAGATAAGTGACTGGCTCAAAAACAAACAGCTAGTTACATGCAACAATCCGGATTTACACCTAGGCAGTCTCATCTCAGATCCTGAGTCTTTAATGTATACGTGTGTCTGTGTGTGTGTGTATGTGTCTGTATGTAGGTAGAGTAGATTGGTCAATAGATAGGCGATCAAGATGTTAAATTGAAGTTTTTAACTGAAACTCTAAGATAAAAAAGAGTGGATGTTTCAAAGTGAGCTACCCAACAACAATATTTCAAAGGAAATAATTGAAAACGTGTTAGACTATTGTTAAACCCCTCACTCACATCTGGGATATAAAAGGTTTGGAGATTGTGGGGGGAGGATTTTATGAACAGGAATTTCAGAAATTTATTTTAAGTTCCCCTGCAAGCCTGGTGACTGGGGCTTCAATGAAATCACACGGAGGGCTTAATGTATGTCCTCTGTAGTATGAGGGACGTGGTAGACTGGTGTCTGACTCACCTGAGAAACCTAAAGGTAAGAGTTGGGTTCACTTAGCATCTAATAAATGAGCACAAAAGGAGTGTCTGTGTTGGGATTGGCCTGTGTCCCCAGAGCTGGAGCAGAAAAATACACGTATGTTTCTCTTGATAACGTTGTTAGTTATATAGGCTGGATATTTTTGTAAGCTTTTTTTGTGCATCATCACATTAATCTTCATAATAACTATGTTATTGAGGTAAGAACTATTATTATCTTCAATTTATAGATGAGTATCATTAGTGCATGGGGAAGGAAATATACCAGAGTACCCTTCTTCTCCAACAACAGACCCGAGCTGATGAAGGGGCAAGAAGATGAAATTTTAAATCAAGGGTAGAGTTTTGATCATGATATGAGACTAGGCATTCTAATTATTTATTTAAGACCAGTGACTCAAATTGATTACAGAGGTTTTTACCACCAATAATCAGAAAAAATCTTCATGGAAATGTTGGGGGAAGAATGTTCCTCTCCGGAAATGTTTTAAAATGGCAGTGGGAGACAAAGTAACATTGCTTTAGGTATGTTACATGAATCCTGCTTGTTCAACCTACCAGGGGTATGTATGACAAGAATGTTATTTGTGGTAGAGGCCAATTATATAAACTGGGTAGATGGAATTATGGATGATTTCTACTGGTTTATATTTTCCTGAATTTCTAAATGTTCTACAATGATTGTGTATATATTTTGTAATCCAAAAAGAAAAAAGCCTTTAAAAATTCAAGTTAGGATAAGGCATTTCAAAATTTTTCTAACAGTTTTTATAGACCAAATATTCAAAATCCTTACCAGTAGATAATGGGTTAAAACAAAGCAAGCTTCTTTGTATTTGACTGCTCTAGAGGATAGTTACACTATGAAACCCTTTGGCCATATCTACAAAGTAGTGAATTATCTAGGATGCAATTTTCAAGAACCTGGTATATTTTTTCTATTCATTTATTTTCCTTATAGGCCTGTGAATAGATTTAACAAAGTTCTATGCAGAGTCCCTCTCCAGAGAAAGCCTTGTCACAAAAGTGGCATTATCTTCTAGGCAGAGAAGATAGGACATCCTTTCTTTAACTTTTTAAATGCCGTCTCTGTTTTCTGTGGATTGTCCCAGAGATTTGGGGGATTGTTGATACTGTATCTTAGTAAAGAAAAAGAAGCAGGGCTTAGACAAGGGTGATGCAGCATGATTACAGCCGAGTTTGCTTCACCTGTTCATCAAATATACTCTGAGGCTGAAATTCGAAAGGGAGGTGCTACAGTAATACAGCTGGTTGGAGACAGGCAGACAACCGATTGACTTCTCTGTGAATCACAATTGTTAATCATGATTCTGAGTGAGCATCTGGACTGGGAGCATGCAGCTGAATGAGAAAAGTTAATCTCATTTTAGCTGTGCAGTAGTTACTAAATCATAGTTCAAAAATGAATTTGGGAGAAAATCTGCATCTGAGATAGGGAGGGCAAAGGGGAAGCATAATTGTGATATTAAATTATCTCCTAAAATGAGTAGAAAAATAATATGCAGCCAAGAAGGAGGAGATCTCATTAGTTTTATCATAAATACTATGTATGTATTAATTTAGTCTCCAGGAAGGGATTGATGAGAAAATCCTCACATTGTGTAGCAGGAACTGTTAAAAGCAAATGGCTTTTAGATATGTGTCTTGACATCCACAGGTTTTTGATGAAGCAGAGAGCCAACCAAGTTCTCCAGAGCTAGCTTGTTTAGTTTCCTGAATCTTAAATCTTAAAGGCTTTAGGTTTATTTTAGCTTTGTATCTATAGTAGTTTATTTTATGACAGAGTGCTTTAATTCTCTAAGCCTTAAGACAAAATATTCTTTTATATATCATAATGGATTCACTTAGGTTTCTCTTAGTGAAAATCTGAGACATAGTAATGCAGATCCTAAGACCCTCACAAATTCCCAAATTGCTGAACAGCACTCTAGTATGAAATTTATTTTATAAAATGTAATAAAAGCATTTGGATTTCTTTTTTAGAGCCATTTTCACAAAAAGCAATAATTAAAAAAAAATTACTGTGTACTCCATGACAACTAGAAATCAAGTAAATCCCACTGAAGTGTGGTGGCTGAATCATCGTCTAGGTCCACATCCCATATCAGCCCCACGTCTTGTAGGAGTCAAGTTTGTATGCAGTAAAATTACAAATGAATACATATCTTATACCTTTTGTGCATAGCAAAATCACACATAAGAATCCACAAATGCTATTGCTATTTTTTATAAATGAAGCTGTAGGATCCCAAAAAGGAAACCCCAACTCCAGTCTCGAGAAGGCACGGACCCACAGACACAGAAGACTGAGCTTGATGCAAACGCAAGAGGTTTACTAAGCGGAGCTCCGGGTCGACACGTATCTCTCGCAGGAGACAGAGGAGTCGACCCCGGACCTTAAAGGGCAAACTCTTATATAGGGCTTGGAAGCACAAAGCGGGAAAAGGTTGGCGCGGTCTTACATGATTGGCTAATTTAAAACATTTAAACAGTTACATTTTATGGCGCGAATTGCTATGGCGCGAAGCGATTATCAGGTTACACACACGCGTCCCCATCTGGACCCCCTCCACCCCGACCCTCCCAAACTTATCCCTCTGGAGCGCTCTCTCGTTCTCAAGTTACCCCGAACAGTTTAGGGTGGGTCTTTCATGAATAGAGTCAGTCAGGATCGATAAACGTTCCTCCCTATTCCAGGAATCCTTAGGGCGTGGAGGTGCCTGTCTCTAAGGTAGTAACTTTTTAATTTTTAATACAAGTTTTACTTCCTTCAAAGCAACATACAACTCATTGCTAGTGTTCACTGTTATATGGTAAGATATTAGTAAATATTAGCTATTTTTTACATTTTATATACATTTTTATTCTTATAGTCACAATTTTAATGATGCAGGAATCCAAATAATTTTGTAGTTTTCTACAAATGAAACATTTTTCTGTCTGTTCATCAGATAGGATTTATATTTTAATATCAATTGTGCATTGTTTGGCTGGTATATAACTTAACCAACCACCACTTATGTCCATAAAACAATCTTATATAGGCA